AGGTCAAATGAGGAAACGTCTGACAGCAGTAAGAGCCAGTGTTCGCTGTGGGTTCTCTCGGTGACAGGATCCTTCGTAAGTGCTTTCTTCACTTAGCAAGTCCTTGTCCAGTGTCACATCACCATGTGAAGAAGGGACTGTTGTTGGGCCCATTTTTTAGATGCAGAAAGGCAAGCGGTTGGCCCACAGCTAGGAGGTGATGAAGCTGGAATTTGAACCAGTGTTTCTGACTCCGGAGCCCTCAGCTGCATGAACTATGATTGCTCCTTAAAGGGGTGCGAACCTCTTTTAAACACAGACTGGTGCAGAGGCCTCCCAGTGTGAGGGCTCAGCATCGTGATGGGGAATGCAAGTTAGACAAACCTGATGCCCAAGGAAGCCGACGGCTCGGGAAGGGAGACCATCTGTTACATAAGGTTGACTTGCCAAGTGAAGAAAATATCAAGAGGTGGGCTTGGGGGCTGCCCCTGGGGCGGAGGCAGCCTCCCCTCCTTGCCCCCCGCCCCCCCCAACCAGGTCTCCGGGAGCAAAGCCAGTGGCTGCTGGCACAGCCTCACAGCAGCCCGATGGAGCTCACGTGCGGCTCCTCAGGCCGAAAATTTAGCTAGTCCTGGGAGCCCCAAGACTCCAGTCTGGGGATGCCCTGTGAGATGTGGGGTGAACTGAGTTATGTCACCCAGGTTCAAACGAGAGACATAAAAGCGGGCTTCTGTGGGACTTAAGTGGGAGCGACTCCCGTGCACCCACGCGACGCGTTTCTGCCAGCACCTGGGTCCAGTCAGGAAGAGGAGCTTCCGGTCATGTCAGCCGCGGCCCCTTCTTGTCCCGCCAGCCTCTGTCCCCACCCTCAGCTGCCAGAGGGATCCTAAGTGAGCGAAACCCTCCCCAGCCCTCCCGGTTCTCCTGCCTCCGCGGCTCTCTAATGAGAATGCTTTTCTGTGCTCTGCACAGGACTGTGAGCGCCATGGGGACAGGGACCCGCGGCCACATCCCTGACCCCTAACAGGGAGCCCGGCACCCTGGGAACAGGCAGCCAGCAAGTATTTAAGTGAGCATGAATAATGGCTTCAGAAACAGTGGCAAAGGCCAGCCGGGGGAATGAGGCAGGGAGGTTCGCCTGCCAGCCCTGTCGCCGAGCTCCCCGATCCCCAAGAACACACACGCCCCGCACCCCACACGCCCTCCTCTTCCTCCCTGAGAAATCCTATTGCTGAACGACTGCTTGGGGGAAACGGCGCTTTTGCCCAGAGCCGCAGGCCGGCGTCTCCTCGGATGCACTGCGGCTCCTCTCGGCTTACTCATCAGATTAAGCCGGTGGAGGTGAGGATGGAGAGGGGAGGCGGGGACGTGCCCTCTCTTCAAGCAGGGCAGCCTCACCCCTGGCCGTCTCCCAGCAGCGGCTGCCAACCTCTGGGCAGGAGCAAAGTCCCCAGAACCCTGACACCACCACCTGCCTGCCAGGGCATGGCCGGGAGTGCGCTGGGGGACAGTCAAGCTCCCGACCGCCCAGGTGTGCCGCCTCCCCTGGGACGGGGCAGTGGGCCCTGCCTGGGGCTGGAGGGAGGCAGAGGGGTGACTCACACATGGTCCATGGGCCCATCTCCGGGTTCTGGAAAATTCATCTTTCGGCCCCGGGGGCTCCACCCGCCTGTCTCACCCTCTGTTAACAACCCTGAATCTCTAACTCAGTCCTCATGGCTGACCCCAGGCCCCCCCACTCAGCTTGTCCAGAACTGAACTCAGCATTTCCGCCCTCTCCCAGACATTCTCTTTCCCCTGGACCTCCATCTCTGTACCCTTCACCCAAACCAGAAACCAGTGAAAGGGGGTCCTGATGCCCCCTCTCATGCACCCACATGTCCAGTCAATGAACACGTCCTAACTATCAAGTCTGCTCCCAGCCATCCCTGGACAATGCCACCACCAGCCTGGCCCAGGCCTCCTCGTCCCTCACTCTGACGCCTGGACTCGGCTCAAGTACCGTGGCCAGAGGGATGAGGTGTTCTACTTGGCCACGGCGGGGCTCGCTGCCCACGCCAGGAGTCAGGGCGGTGTGGTCCCGTCCAGTCCACATGGATGGGTGGGGGTGGGGTGCAGGCGCGAGTCTCGGGCGTCACTACAGATGCCCGGATGCAGGCAGCAGGGATCAGCACAGGAGTGGCTTCCAGGAGGACCCAGAAGGGTGGGTGGCTCTCAGACATGCAGAAGATCTGCCGCGCCACCCAAACAGCCCTAATAGTCACTGACTCTTATCGAGAGCTGGCTGCGTGCAGGACACCGTGTCAAGAGCTTTGCATCTTAGCACTTGAAACCCTCAGGCCAGCCTGGAGAGGCAGGCTCGGTGATCACCCCACACACGCTTCCAACAGCATCACGGAGACTGTAGGTGCCCCTGCGTTACCCTCCCGGGCCCCCCTCCTGTCCCGGGCTGCCCCGTCTCCGGAGGTAGCCAACGTCCTGAATTTGGTGCTTATCGTTCCCACACATGCCTTTATTCTTTTATTCCACATGCAGACACCTGAACAACATATGATATTGTTTTGTGTGCTTTTGGACTTTATACCCTCTTCCACCTGCTTTTCTCACCCAATATCCGGTCTCTAAGATTTATCCACGTCAATCCGTGTAGCACTCGTTTATTATTTTGCACTGCTGTGTCATCGCCTTGTACGTCCTCTGTGGAGAATGGACGTTAAGGGTGGCTTTAAAAAACACATGTGTAATCACAGCCGAACAGGCCTGTGGTCCTAAAATCCAGTGGTGGAGCTGGGTTTATGGTGCAGAGCAGCAGCCCTCCATAAGCCGGTGCCTCCCACTGCGTTCACGCCGCCACTTCCCGCTTCCTCCCCTGGAGGCGCTGACTGCTGATCTCCTGCGAGGTCCGGACCCCTCCTTTGCACCCAAGAGAGCTGTGCACCATTTTCAGATCCACTTAGTTACCTTCGTCATTTTCGGAGCTTTTCTAACACCTTTGGATCATGTTCCCAACCACAGCAGCAGCTCTTCGATTTACATAATATGTCATATTATTCTTATGTAATAGGTTCTACATAGCCCCCTTATAAAACCTTTTTGTACTCCCAAAAATTAATCATAAAAAGTATTCAAGGAAAAGCACCTAAAGTAGCAAGTGACTTTCCTGGCTTCTCTCCCCATATCCTGGTCATCAATTAGCACTTCGATACGTGTCCTTCTAGGTCCTTCCTTGGTGCTCAAGAGCATGTGAAGTTAGGGGTTTGCCTTCTTCTCCCCACCCTGCCTCCCTCCCTTCCCCACAAAAAGTAGAATCTTCCTGGGTTGACTCTGTAGCTGCTCTTTCCCTTAACAGTGTATCCTGGACGACTTTCCACCTCGGTAACCACAGATCTATTGCCCCTTTAATGTCTGCACAGCCTGCACAGTATAAAAGAGTGTAGGTCCATTGGTCATCTTCCTACTGCTGGTCACTGCCGTGTGTTTCTGCTTTATGCACACTGCCGTGGTGACCGTCCTTGGGCGTGTAGTACAGTGTGAGCGTCCCTGAAGTCGTGTCTGCAGACGCGCGGGTGTACCCGTAGTGTGTATCTGTGTCAGACAGTTCACTGCAGAGCACAAGCTGTAGCCTCTTCTTCACCTTTTCTCTAAAATAGTGTCTCTTTTTGAAAGGGCTCATTTTGGACAGAGCTGCTTCCCAGGAAGCAGGGGGCAAATTTCAAGAACTCCTCACCTTTGAGACAGATCAGCAGCTAGAGATTTACCAAGCTCGAGGAGAGTTTAGGCAAAACTCAACTTCTTAGCTGAGCTTTTAAAGCCCTCAGTGTCTGCCCATTACTTTTCCTCCAGCTCTCCTCCCCTCCTGCCCAGTGTTGAAGCGGGTCTCTCTTTTCTGGAGACGCCCTGCCTGCCTTTGTGCTGCTCCTTCCGTCGTCCCCGCATCGTACCTGCTCACGTTTCACCTTCTTTATGTTGCTCGGACACACGGCAAGCTCGGAGGCACTGACTGCTGATCTCGGAGCCCTTGCATTTGCTGTTTCCTCTGCCTGGAACTCTTCCCTAGATCAGGGATTCTCAACCCTGGCTTGATTGCAATTCCACATTGGAATCCTCTGGGGGAGCTTTTAAAAAGTCTGATGCCTGGGGCAAACCACAGACCAGGTAAACCAGAATCCATGGGAGTGGGCCCACACATCAGTAAAGCTCCCCCAGGATTCAGGCAGGCAGCTGAGGGTGAACCTCAGTGATACAGATCCTCCCGTGCCCAGCTCCTTCTCATCACTCAGGTCTCTGCTCAAATGTCACCTCCTCAGAGAGGCCCTCCCTGACTGCCCCAGCTAAAGTACACCTCCCACCCCAGCTCCCAGTTACCCTTTGTCATATCTTGTCTTATTTCCTTCATCTGCCACACCTTGTCACTGTCTTGGTTCTCTGTTTACGTGTTCCTCAGCTCCTGCCCCCAGCGCAGGCCCTGCAGGAATGCAGGCACGTACCCACCCTGCTCACTGATATACCTAGAGCCTTGAAAAGACTTCAGGCTTAGGAACCAAGACTCAGAAGGCCTGGCTGCAACATTTACCAGCTGTGTGACATTGGGTGATTCTCTTAACTTCTCTGTGCCTTAATTTCCTGTTCTGGAAAACAAGGATTATCATCCCACCTACTTTCTACTGTTACATAAGAATTGTTGGAGCTAATACAAGCACACAGAACAGTTCCTGCACACCGTAAGCACTCAATAGTGTCAGCTATTATTATTTTAATATCTATCACGAATGAATGACAAACTGCAGTTCCTCTCCCGTCTTCCCTAACCCTTCTCTGCTTGTTTTTCTCCATTGTACGTAGCACCATTTGACATTCTGTGTATTTTACTTGCTGATGTATTGCCTGTCTGCCCCCAGACCATCGGCTCCACGAGGGCAGGATTGTCTGTCTGGGTCACTGCTGTGTCCCCGATGCCCCGCCCGGTGCCTGGCGCACAGCGGGCACTCAGCACGCATTCTCCTGTCTCTCCCTGCCCCCAGGATTACCTGACCGACCTTATCACCAACGACAGCGTGAGCTTCTTCCGCACGTCCAAGAAGATGTACCCGCACAGGCCCGTCCTGATGGTCATCAGCCACGCGGCCCCCCACGGCCCTGAGGACTCGGCCCCCCAGTACTCCCGCCTCTTCCCCAACGCCTCCCAGCACATGTAAGCTTCGCGCCCGGCCCGTAGAGCCGCTGGTTGGCATGACGGCGGGAGGGTCAGGCTTCGGCCACAATGATGTGACAGCAATGACAGAGCCACACCTGCTGTCTAATCCTCCTGGTTTCAAGAACCCAGGAGCGCGCTGCTCATCTTGGGGAAAACAGGGACACGAGTCCAGCCAGGCTGGCCAACAGACCAGAGAAGGGGCAAGAGTTTTTAACTCGGGACCCACGGGTCCGGCCTGGTGGCGCAAGTGGTTAAGTGTGCGTGCTCTGCTGCGGCAGCCTGGGGTTTGGATCCTGGGCCCGCACTGACACACCGCTTGTCAGGCCGTGCTGTGGTGGCGTCCCATATAAAGGAGAGGAACGTGGGCACAGATGTTAGCTCAGAGCCAATCTTCCTCAGCAAAAAAAAGAGGAGGATTGGCAACAGATGTTAGCTCAGGGCTGATCTTCCTCACAAAAAATAAACAAACAAACAAATAAATAAACAAACTTCGGGCCCACATCCCCTCACGAAGAGGTCTGTGGATGGAACTGCATTTCAGTACAGCAGGCTTCCTTTGTAATCCTATGTATTTTATTTTATACATTTAAAAACATTATTTTGAGAAGGGGTCTGGAGCTTCATCAGACTGCTGATATGTTCGCCAGGCTTTATTGAGCCGTTGACTATGTGCATTCTCTAGGCGGAGCCCTTTACATGCACCGAATCCCTGAACATTCACAGTGACCCTTGATGTATTAGTTATGTGTTGCTGCATAAAAAATCACCCCGAAATCTAGCAGCTTAAGACGACAAACAGGATTATCTCGCAGTGTCTGTGAGTCAGGAGTCTGGGAGCGGCCTGTCTGGGAGGGTCTGGCTCAGGTCTCCTGAGGCTGTAAACAAGGCATGGGGCTCGCCTGGGGCTCATTCCCACGGCTGCTCCTCAGCCGGCCTCCCCATAGCTGCCTGAGCATCCTCACAGCACAGTCACTGGCTTCCTCCAGAGGAAGTGATCCGAGAGAGAGAGAAAGGGGGTGGGGCGGAGGGTGGGGGTGGATGGAGAGAGCCCCAGATGGAAGCTGGAGTCTTTTACAACCTAATCTGGAAGTGACACACCATCACTCTGCCACATTCTATTGCTCACACAGACCTGTGCTCCTACTGTGTGGGAGGGGGCTACACAAGTGTGTGAGTACCAGGAAGTAGGGGCCATTGAGGGCTCTCTTGGAGGCTGCCTAGCACACTTGGCATTCCCATTTTACAGATGAGGAAACTGAGGCACAGAGAGGTGAGGTAACCTCCCTAAGGTCGCCCAGCTGGTAAATGGCAGATCCAGGTCTCAAATCCCGCCCTACTCATGCCCACCCCTCCAGTCCTCCTCCCTCCAGTGGGTAAATCTTTCTGGAAAGTTCTCCTGCTTGTCTCTGCCTCAGACCACGTCCCGCTCAGCAGCCCTTGCTGTGACACTGGGGCGACAAGGACAGGGCAATTTGGAATCAGCCTGAATATTCTGGGTGTTTAATTTTCATTAAATCAGAATGCATTGCCCTCCTCGGCCCCTCGCTGTAATTACTTTCTGACAGCGCCCAGAGTGGCTCAGAGAGGATGAGACAGTGTGTTAACCTCTGACCCCGGTCTCTGGGGAGGAGGATCTGACAGGATGATGAACCCCATCCCGGGGCTGCAGCGCCGCCCTCACCCCCAGATGACAGCACCGCCTCGCTGCCCGTCTGACTTGCCTGCCCCCCTCCCAGCCCACTCCTCCCGCCGCGGTGCCAGCCCCGCTCCACCTCCTGCCCCCACAGACGGCTCACCTCTGCGGGAGGGGATGTGGGGCCGGCTCAGTCCCACCTGAGGGAGGAGCTGTGGGGGGGAAGCTGGGCTGTGCTTCTGCGGCATCTCCTTTCAAAGATGTGCTGGCATCCCCCCCAGCCCTGGAGTTTCCTGATGAGGTTGTTTGACATCGCCTGTGCATTTATTCCCCCTTTGAAATGAGAATTACAGAAATGGAACACGAGCAGCGTGGCTATGACTTACCCAGAGAACCCCTCCATGTGAGGAGTGTGCTGGGAAGTCGCCCTTCTCTCTGGGGTATAATCACGTCCAAAACAAAGCCAAACACCAGAAAGTTCTGCAGCTGAGATGTCTAATTATGACAGTCAAGGGGGGTGAGGAAGGGACAGGGCTCTGCCTGTGGGGTCGGAGTTCTGGATCTTTCCATCAGAGTCTCTGACTCTCACCCCATCGAGGCTTGTACCCTGTTCTTGGGGCGAGCTTTGTGCGTTCTGACAAAGGCTGCTTGATGCAGTGTGGTCCCCCTTCTACCCCACTGCACCTGCCCAGGGCCCCATCCACCCACCCCTACTCCATATGCACATGTGCACACACATACAAAGATACAAATAGATAACACAGATACACAAATGCACACGCACACAAATGTACGGACACACACAAAGATACAGACACACACAGATATATAGACACAGACACAGTACGCACACATTCACGGAAACACAAACAGACGCAGACACAAAAATACACACAGATATACACAGATACACAAACGCACACACAAACAGATACACAGAGACATACACATAAAGCTAAACACAGGCACAAGCACAGACAGACACATACGCACAGATACACAGATCCCTTTGAAGTGTGGCGTCTGACTGTGGGTTCGGGGCCTCCCCTTTGTAACCCGCGGGACCAGGCCCGCGTTGACAGCCTTGGG